GAGATGTGGATGGACCTAGAGACTGTCATACAGAGTTAAGTAAGTCAGAAAAAGAAAAGCATGTATGTGGAATCTGGAAAAATGGTATAGATGATCTTATCTGCAAAGCAGAAATAGAGACACGGATGTAGAGAACAAATCTATGGATACCAAGGGGGAAAGGGATGGGGTGGGAGGAATTGGGAGACTGGGATTGACACATATATATTATTGATACTATATATAAAATGGACAACTGATGGGAACATACTGTATAGCACAGGGGACTCTGCCTAATGCACTGTGGTAACCTAAATGGGAGGGAAGTCCAAAAGGGAGGGGATAGCTATATGTATATGGCAGATTCATTTTCTTGTGCAGTGGAGACTAACACAACATTGTAAAACAACCATACTCCAATAAAAATTAAAGTAAATAAATAAATTTGGATGTTATCTGTATATAGTTGATAATTAAAGCTGTGAATAATGATTAGATTCCCAAGAGAGGAAGTATAGGGGAACACGGTGTAGGACTCACTTGAGGAACTCAGACATTGAGAAGAGACAAACTGGAAAAAAGAGATGAATGGACATGATCTAAGAGGTGGAAGAAAACCAGGATAAGAGAGTATTGCATGGACTTCCCTGGTGGTTCAGTGGTTAAGAATCCACCTTCCAATGCAGGGGACGTGGGTTCGATCCCTGGTTGGGGAACTACGATCCCACATGCCACAGGGCAACTAAGCCCTTGTGCCCCAATGGAAGATCCCATGTGCTGCAACTAAGACCCAACACAGCGAAAAATACATACATTTTTTTTTAAAGCGAATATTGCAGAAAGAAGGTAAGTTGGTGAATGTAGTCAGTGTGGTTCAGAGTTAGAATATAATAAGGCATGAGAAATATCCTTAGAATTTAATGATACAGAGATCCTAGTTAACTTAGTGATTCTGAAATAGTAGAGAAGTGGAGATGAAAATTAGATACACGAAAGTGATAGTCTGGGTATGTTAATATAAACATTAAGTTCAGAGAATTAATGCATTTACTATATAATATGAAGTATAACATAAAGTGGGAAATTTTTCCATCTCATCACCCAAAAAGGGATCCTTTGAATATGTTTACTATTTAAAATGGACAATTCTTAAGTATTCTAGGCACATAGTTTTACACGGGAAACAGTGTAGGATGTTAATAAGAACCTTGGCCCTGAAGTTATAACACATTGAGTCCAAGTGAAACTTCATATAGCTAGAAGTATGCATCTTTTGTGAACCTCAGTATCTTCCTGAATAGCAGGTTTAATGGTAATAATGAACACATCTCAGGATTGTTTTGGAGATTCAGAAAGGAAAAGAGATAGAACATATATAGGATATAATCTATAAAGTTGTACTGAATAAATTACATTGATCTGATTGTGTGTAATAACATCCTAAATGGTGTCTCTACCTCTGGTCTTGCTACCCAGTATTACCCCCACTATATACTCCCCTCTGAACTTCTGGTGCTGAATAAAATATCTATGTCTTATATATCTATGTGTCTCCCTACACTGCCCAAGGTAATACTTTTCACATAGTATAGCCACAAAGATGTGTTATTTAAATCTCAAAAAATTATGTTAGATAAATTTATTGTTTGTTGTATGTTCAGACATACCTAGAGAGGTTCTGCTTCTCTACTGTCATGTCTTATTGTGTTCACGCAATAATTATTTTTTTCCACTGGCATTTAGAAAGTGTAATTAATTGAAGTAAATAGTTACAAAGCAAAAGTCAGTACTGACAGCTGCATTTTTAAAACCCTGTTGAATCAGTGTCATCTCCACATTTATCTGAAGTCAAAATGCTGACAAACTGTTATTAAATACACTTATGTATTCTAACTTTTTTTAAAGTACAATTGTATTTTCTCATCTCTCCTAGCTGCTTTGTTTTCTCCTACTACCTCTACCTTGAGTCAGTTAAGGATGGCCATGTTTCACTCAGCATTAAAGGATATACACAGACTTAGCTTAATAAATACCAAGTTGAAACCTGACAGGAATCATCTGTGCCCCTCTCCAGATTGATGGACCCTTTCCAGGAAGCTTTAATGTGCACATAAAATGTCATCTCTCTGAAATAATTTGCAGAACATTAGTTCCATGGTGATTCAATTTGATAAGAATGGGTATTAAGAACTATCTCAGTGGACTTATTTGTACGAATCTGGCTTATTGGTCATTTCCATAAAGATCACTGAAGTGTAGATGATAAACCAGCAGGAGGAATAGCTCTCGAACCACCAGCCCCCAACCATCCCGACCTGCCAGCCTTCTGGTTGCTGAATAATTTCAGTTTGCTTAATACATATCTCTGTTACATTTATGACCCAGGATTCAAACATGCAGCTATCACGGCTGGCCTCTGGGTCTCGAATTATAGCACCTGAATACCAACTGTCTTCATCATATTTTATTTGTTTTTAAATGAGAGACCTGTACTATTATTTGTCATCTTAAAACTTATAAGCTGGAGGGAAATGTCAAAGTAGAAAATATTTTTGCCTGTGGAATCCTGGATAATGTTTCTGTTTTGTTTCATTATTTTGTTAAATTTTCTTTACTTTTCAAATTCACTGGTCATCAGGAAAAAAAAATATAAAGTGAAACATATTTTAAATGATGAATGAATACTAATATATCAGCCAAACAGGTCATTTAAAATTCCCAGAAATCATAAAACAAGGAATTCTCTCCAACCTAGAAAAGATCCACTATCATTTTAGTTGAGACTATGAGTGTCATCAAACTATCAATCTTAATATATGAGAAAAGGTGTTAAGCAAGCAGACACACAAAGAATGTTTACACGTAAAGACACATAAAGAATATTTATCACAGTGTAGTAGCTTTTACGAACAGGATCCAAGGATCAAAGAGTAGCTTTTCAAATAACACTTAATGATTATTTTGTGAACTTTTTGTTAACCATTTGTTTTCGCCTTCTAAAGTCTTTGGAAAGAGGCTCACATTTCGTCCATTTTGCCCTTTTTCACTTCCTTATTTCTTCCCTTTGTGTTTAAAAAGACTAGTTCATATTCTTAAGACATTTACTTTTTTTTGCAACACTACTCTCTTCAAATGTTTTCCTACTTAAATGCTAAGGAATACATTGAAATAGATTCTACAAAATCAGATAAACTGAACTACAAAATGAAGCCTTTAATATGTCAGTATCTAAAATGAGAAAATGATTTTTAATACTAAACTTAAAAAGGGATATGATTAATGTTTACACAAACCTGATGGGAATGAGTACTGTGATGATGATCTTAGGTGAAAATATCACAAAGCCAGATATCCACATACCTGTGCAGCTGAAAGCTACATAAAAGGACGAACGCTGTTTTTAATTTGTGTTTACTCATTATCTTCCTAAGTATATACAGTAGAGTTAGTGCCCGAGTGTTTTGGGATTTCTCTACTAAATTTCTTACAAGAGGCTGGCGAAGTCCAACTTTTTCCAAGTGGTACTTACACTACAGCCTTAATACTTGCCCTGACCCTCTGACCACCCTCACTGTTGCAGGGAAGAGCCATTGTTGTTTCATGCTGCACTGTCCACCTCTGGGCACCACTGTTGCTGCTGCTACTAATGGTGTGTTGCCATCTCTCTCTCAGTACCACCAACACTTCAACTAGGTTCATGTATGCCCTTCCGCGTGTTCCACACCTCAGTGTACTAGGCACATATCTGGTACATTGAAGCCAGAAGCTAATGATTATTTATCTTTTCTTTAATACTTTGGTAAAGGTACTTTTACCCCTCACCCCAATTCTACCAAATTTTTGGTAAAACCACTGCTGTAGATTTAAATTACAGATTACTTTCTTCTTCCTAGTAACTACACATAAGTTCATGAGGTGGGCTGGTGAAGGATTCGAGTGACAAACCACATAGCACTAAAAACCACATAGCATTTCTTCTCTCCAAGCCTAACACTCTTATGGAGTCAAGTTTAAGCCCACCAAATTCATCTTTACTTAAAACATTAATAAAACAATTTGTGCCAAACACTATCCTAAATACTTTATAACATTAACCTATTTAATTCTTATTCCAAATCTAAGAATCAGGTACTCTTATTAGCCACATTTCACAGATGAGAAAACCGCAGCAGAGAAAGGTTAACTTGTTCAAGGTAACACAACTAATAAAAGAAAGATTCAAGCTTCAAACCCAGGCATGCTGGCTCCAGCTCTGTGCTCTTAACTGCTCCATATTAAGGCAGGCTGCCTCTCTCTTCACGTAAAGCAACTCAGTATCTCATGTAAATATACACCCGGTAAACCTGATCTACATTCCAGGTTAGTCTGAAACTGCAGCCCCCTACAGAGACATCATGCCCTTGAATTGACTTCATATATTCATTGACCACATATATTCATCAATGCTTATCTTTTTGTTTCAAAGTGTAGGTGATTGCTCAGATGCATATTATCATCTTTTTCCTTTTATTTCTGAACATTCCTCTTCTAATTGTATTATCTTGTTTTTGTTCAATGCTAGGCAGGTAGCATAGAATTTAAGAACATGGATTTTGCAGCCAGGCTATTTGAGTGTGAATTCAGACTACCACTTTTTGTGTGACCTTAGGCAATTTACTTACCCTTTTTGTGGCTCAGTTTTCCCATATGTAAAATATGAATAATAATAGAACTTACTTTTTAGGGTTAATATGTTAATTAAATTATTTTAAAGTGTGTAAAACACTCAAACAGTCCCTAGCACGTGGTAAGCATTAGGACAGTGTATGCGCTGTATAAAATCTGTATAGTTTGCTACCGTTTTTTATGCTGTTAGTTTGATCTTTGCTAATTATTGAACAATTATTATTCATACTTTTTTGTAATTCTAGAGGTGCACAGTTTATTCCTTAAGTCTCATAAGTATAATAAAACAACAACAGACTACCTATTAAACCCGTTTACTCATACATTGTTGAGAAGAAGCCGGTTAAAAGGTAAAGACTTGCCTTTCCGTTTGGCGGCAGCCATCAGGTGAGCCGAGATGGGCGCTTACAAGTACATCCAGGAGCTGTGGAGGAAGAAGCAGTCGGACGTGATGCGCTTTCTGCTCAGGGTGCGCTGCTGGCAGTACCGCCAGCTCTCGGCGCTGCACCGGGCCCCGCGCCCCACCCGGCCCGACAAGGCGCGCAGGCTGGGCTACAAGGCCAAGAAAGGTTATGTGATATATCGGGTTCGCGTGCGCCGCGGTGGCCGCAAACGCCCGGTCCCGAAGGGCGCCACCTACGGCAAGCCCGTCCACCATGGCGTCAACCAGCTCAAGATTGGCCGGAGCCTTAAGTCTGTTGCCGAGGAGCGAGCGGGGCGCCACTGTGGGGCCCTGAGGATCCTGAATTCTTACTGGGTGGGTGAAGATTCTACGTACAAATTTTTTGAGGTTATCCTCATTGATCCCTTCCATAAAGCTATCAGAAGAAACCCTGACACCCAGTGGATCACCAAGCCAGTCCACAAGCACAGGGAGATGCGGGGGCTGACGTCTGCAGGCAGGAAGAGCCGCGGCCTCGGCAAGGGCCACAAGTTCCACCACACGATCGGTGGTTCTCGCCGCGCAGCCTGGAGAAGGTGCAATACTCTCCAGGTCCACCGCTACCGCTAATATAAGTAATGTTTGTAAAATTCTTACCTAATAAACAGTTTAGGACATCCACGTCTGCTTAAAAGTGTTATTTAATCTGTCCGTTAAAACTAGTTGTCTGCAGATTGCTTCATTGAATGCATTGTCAAATTCTGAAAGTTAAAGTCCAATAATGTTTGAAGATTTTAAGTGATGGTGTGTCTTGTTTCTAATAAGGGAAAAATGCCTTTGTTTTTTGCTTTATTAGGCAGTTGATATGTCCGTGTTTAAAATGCTGTCTGGTAACAATAGGTGTAAAATTCTGTAAAAGAGGAGCTCAGAAACTAGCCATGTAGATTTGTTGGTGCATGTGATGAAACCTACAGCTTTATTGGGGTGATGCAATGCTCTGCTGGTTTACTCTAAAGTGGCTGTTTTATGGAGTTTGGCAAGGACAAACTTTAAATTGGGTTTTCCTTGGAAATGTGAAGGATGTCGTGATCCTTTATCATGATCATAATGCCAAAAAATAAAGTTGACTAGGGCCCACGTTTTTAGACTTAATTTGCTACTCCATATATGTAACTGCTGCTGCCAAAAGGCAGAAAGTAAAGGAATGCCACCATTTTTTAAGAGAATTAAATAAACCTGTTGCAAGATGTTTCTCTTACAAATTGAAACAAATCCTGGTTAACCTAAATTAAATTGCCTTGACCTCGATGGTACCACTGAAGTTCCCATAAAAGGTGGGAGCTCCTGGTTCAATCCCGTGACTCTGATCTGTAGAATACTTAACTTCATGCAAAATAGTCATGGTATTAACACTAGTGTATATTGAAAGTGATGGAAATTGAACATTGGGTAAATGAGGAGGGAGTTTTTAACCCTAAGGTTTATAAGCTAGTGATGCTAGGATTGGGAAATTGCTGTTCATAAGGTCCCTTTCAAGTGTGGGAGGATAGAAGGGGCTTGGATCAAATTTTTAAATGTTTTATTTTTAGTATTAGTTTGTGACCCATTATGAAATCTAAGCCACCTTGGGGAAAATTGGGTTGGTTTTATTTAAAAGTAACATTGCTAAGCCTAATCAGTGTTATCTTGGGTCAAGCCACTTTATCCATTCCCATAAGGCTACTAAGAAGAGTCGTGTAGTTGGTGTCAATACAAGTTCAGTTGGTTTCCGGAAAAAAAAGAAAAGGTAAAGACTTAAAAACTGGAATATAACACAATTTTTTCTGGGTTGGTGATAGCTCTAATTCTGTGTAATTCCACCCAGACTTTAGATGTCTTTCTAATTATATGGGAAGCACACCACTAAATTATAAATATTTCTGAGAGTAAAATACCAAGGAGATATTGGAAATTTTGATGGACTTTATAAACTTTTTGGCTAATGCACACATAGACAAAGAATCAAACATATTTAAATATTCCAAACAAAATAACTCCTGGCTCATATTTCCATGCATTTTAGCCACTTAACGTGTAATTGGTTGACTTTTGAAACAACAGGCCAAATCATTTATACTTTTTTCATAGCATATGTAAACATTGGTATAGAACATTTAATTTCTCATGGAGATATTATTGAGTGGTATTTTAAAACTCTGATAAAATAATAGGATTTGATCATATGTTATTACTAATATGCTCACAAACTGAGGTCAAATGTAAGATGATTAGTCAGGTTATAGCTAATATTGTTATAATCCTGTGCTATTTAGAAATGTCAACTGAGCAGTAACTTAAAAAAATTGACACTCCATTTTCTTATCTTTCTTTTAAATGTCATACCAAAGAGCTAAATAGATGTGGGCCAGAGGGTATTTTGAGTTGTTTTCAGACTAAGGTTTTTATATACCGAAGTCAGTATGTATTTTGGCCTCATTTATGTGATAACATATCACCTTATTTCAAAGAAACTTAGAATGCAAACAAGTTGAAACAGAGCATGAGAGAACGATCTAAAGATGCTGACAGTGAAAAAGATGAGAGAGCTTAATGCTTCCAATACTGGTTCCTAGGCCACTCAAGCTCCTATGTCAGTTCCCCAATGTACATTCAACTGGATAGACTGGTAGAAGCCATTGTCCTTTGGTATGTCCTTTATTTTTTCATATTATTCAACACTTTCAGATTCAGGTTTCAGATTCAGATTCTGGCTCTGAGAGCTCCTGACATACATTTACCAGATTTCCATGAGTAATGGAACTCCCTTTATTCATGCAACATATATTTATTGAAATGTTAGTAACTGACAGTCTCTGGGTGCTGGGTTCTGAGATAGTCCCTACTATAGAAATGCTTATAGATCACTGAGGAATATATACAAGTTCACAGTCACAGTCACTGTAATAACTTCATGTCAGAAATATCTATAAGATGTGATGGAAGCTCATGGGAGTGGTTCCCAATTCAGAGGGGGGCACTTAGAGAAGGAATCTGGAGGAAGGAGCGACAACTCACCTGAGGTCTGAAGTACTGACAAGAGTTAGTTGAGAGTCTAAAGAGTGTAGCTGAGAGTCTGAAGAGTGTACTATCAACAAACACATGCTTTGGAGTAATTGAATCTCAGTTCTACCAACAATAGGTTATGTAAACTTGGCAGGGAAACCACACAGAGTTGTGCAAGGTGTCCATTATACCATGGTCTCTGGTTGAGGGAACAAGTCATGATGAAAACCAACCAAAGCTCTAGTTACTAACCCATAGGCCATGGAAAGACCTGTGACTGCTTAGAGAGGACACATTTTCTAATTCACAGGGACACTAGGGGTTAAAGACAGATCCGATGTTGGTTTAGTGACTTAACTTCATTAGCCCTCCATTACCTAAAATGTAGGTTATAATGGTAACTATTATATTACATAGTGTCATGAAGATTATATGAAAAAATTCCTATAATTTGCTTTGTAGCTAGGAACAGAACAATAAATGGTATTGTCATCGCTAGAAAAGATGAAAATGGGAAGATAAACATGGATAAAAGTGGTTTCCAACACCAATATCCTTCCACATTGAAGTCTTACAATATGAAAAAGAAAAAAAAAGATAAAATATTCAGAGATATGGGACAATCACAAACATGAAGTATATCTGACACCTTGAATTTAGAATAAGTTACTTTACACTAGATGAACATTTTTCTTTACTTCTCTATTTCTTCTTTTTACCTTCTATCCACATTTTATTTCTTCTTCTCACTTTCTGTTTCTTCTCCTTTTCCCTTTACATCCAGTCTACGACAGTGACCTACCAGTCTTGCTCACGAATGTTGCTAGCAGCAACTGAAAAGTGTCAAAACACCCAAACATCCACATGGCTAGCCACTGAACTTTTTTTTATGTGTGTGGTACGCGGGCCTCTCACTGTTGTGGCCTCTCCCGTTGTGGAGCACAGGCTCCGACGCGCAGGCTCAGCGGCCATGGCCCACGGGCCCACCGGCTCCGCGGCATGTGGGATCTTCCCAGACCGGAGCGCGAACCAGTGTCCCCTGCATCGGCAGGCGGACTCCCAACCACTGCGCCACCAGGGAAACCCTGAACTTTTTTTTATATACATGGCCTTGAATCTGCTAATAGATAAATACATTAACTTCATTTTAATTTTTCAAAACAAGGTAGAGAGGATGATATTTTAAATATCATACACTTTGCTTCTGCTGATTATGTTTCTTCCTCCTGAGCTACTCAGACCAGTACCAGTGCCAAGGAGATGACTCTTTTTGATTAGAAAATAAATGGAAATTGAAGATCTGCAATGTATCCAGAAGAATTGCACAAAGCAAAATATTCTTCAACTCTGGGATGAAAGGATGAGCTCCCTCTGTGATCATCACTTCTTAGGATTGAAGAGTTCATGGTTGTATGTATGGTTTGAAATTAAACTGAGTTCAAAAGGGTGAAAGAATTTTTTTTTTTTTTTGCTATTTATCTCCCAGAGAGAATAAAAGCTAAAAGGAAAATAAAAGTGGGATATTTATATTACTGTGCAGCATAACTCACTAGTAATAGATTAAATAAGCAAATAAAAGTGGTTATTAATAATTTCTTATATCATTATGTTAGTCAGAAGTCCATAAAATTAAAACAGAGAAATTATCATGATTTTAGTCTATATATTTTGATCTTTAGTTTTCTGTTTTATCATTATTATATTCATGCTCTTGAGTGTATATGAATACTTCCTAAATATATTATTAGAGACTATGACAAATGGCTCATTTATGTAGAATGTTAAATAAAAATAACAGGGAATTTGGAAACATCTTCATAGTAAATTAAATGGTGAGTGGAAAAAAAGTATATCTTTTAGGGAACTTCTAAAAACTTTATTCTAATATACAAAAACAAAGTACTATTCATCAAAAACATATCATGTCATGGTGGAAGATTACACATATCTCCTGCAAGTTTCTGCAATGGAAAATATGAATTGGTAAGAAACATATTACCAGCATGGGAATTCAGATAGTAAATTTTGTCTTTATTTTACAGCAGTGAAAACTTCTCATCAAATTGAAAATTAAATTAGAAATTATTATCAAAAATAGAACACAAGTCCTTACTTTTGGTATATAACTTTCTTACTCACCTTCAGTCAGTCATTCAGTGTTTCAGTCATGATCTTTTAAGGCTATATTTCAAATCAGCATTTATCCAAAAATAATGTTGTACCAATTATTTTATCTAGTTTCTCAACTCCAATACTTTTTCTTTCCTTCCTGCATTTTCCCTTACAAATTTATATAAGGATTGTTAGTTAATTTTACATTGAGCCTTTAGGTTGTATGATATTCAGGTGGGATTGTGACTAAACAAGAAGAGGAAGAATACAGATACTGTGACTGGGACCAAGAGATGAAAATCATGATCCTTGGGAATTTACATTTACCCTTTCTGGGGAGAGGGTGAGAGAGACAATTTGTACCAAGGAGAATTACATTTTGTTAGGTGGAAGCATATTGTTTGTATTTGTCATAACATATTTATAGGACGATGTACTCCAAAGATGAGTAGCCGAAAGAATGTACTGGTTATTTGACAATTTTCTCTCAACTCCAAATAGAAGGTAATAGAAGTTGGAATGAGGAG